CGGCCCAGGTTGGATTCAAATCCGCCAGCTCTGGTGTATGTGGCTGGCGCCTTAGCTGCTTGAGCCACAGGCGCCAAGCCTGTTTGTTGTTTTTTTAGAGACAGAGTTTCACTTTATTGCCCTGGGTAGAGTACTATGACAGCACAGCTCACAGCAACCTCCAACTCCTGGGTTTAGGCAAGTCTCTTGCCTCAGCCTTACAAGTAGCTGGGACTACAGGCACCCGCCACAAGGCCCGGCTATTTTTGGCGGGGCTGGGTTTGGCCCCAGTCGGGTTTGAACCCCCCACCCTCAGTATATGGGGCTGGCACCCTACTCACTGAGCCACAGGTGCCACCCTCTAACTGTATTTATAAACTTTAGGTTTATTGTTTTTTAAATAAGGATTTGCAAATCCTTGTCCATCAGAGCTGGAGCCCCAAGGGATAGGGACATCACCTTTCCCCTGCTAATGAGAAAGTGGAGCGTCTATTTTTTCCACTGCTAGAGATGGAACCATGTCCTTACCTCTGGTATTGTAAGTATGACTTAATAATCATGTTTACAGTTACAGTAGCACACACAACACAGCCCAGCTTTCAAATACTGGCAGAAATATTTAAGCCTAAGCAGTAAGATGAAATACAGCACAGTGGCCCCTGCAAGCTTTTTCTGTAAAGGGCCAGAGTAAAATTTTAGGCTTTGTCAGCTATGTATGGTCTCTGTTTCATAATCATGTTTGCTTTAAAACCCTTTTTCTTGGGTGGCGCCTATGACTCAGTGGGTAGGGTGCCAGTACCATACGCCGAGGGTGGCGGGTTCAAACCCAGCCCCGGCCAAACTGCAACAAAAAAATAGCCAGGCATTGTGGTAGGCGCCTATAGTCCCAGCTACTCTGGAGGCTGAGGCAAGAGAATTGCCTAAGCCCAGGAGTTGGAGGTTGCTGTGAGCTTTGTGACGCCATGGCACTATCCAAGGGTGACAAAATGAAATTCTGTCACAAAAAAAAAAAAACCTTTTTCTTTTTTTTGAGACAAAATTTCATTATGTCACCCTCGGTAGAGTGCCATAGATCACAGCTCACAGCAACCTCAAATTCTTGGGCTTAAGCCACAATGCTGGCTATTTGTTGTTATTCTAATTCCCATTGTTGTTTAGCAGCCCTGGGCCAGGTTCAAGCCTGCAAGCCCTGGTGTATGTGATCAGCACCCTAACTACTGAGCTACGGGTGCCGAGCCAAAACTCTTTAATTTTTTGCAAAAAAAGCTATTAAGCTTTAATAAAGCTATTAAGAGAAATAAATTGTTTTTAAAAAAAAGTTACTTAGGCCAGGCATGGTGGCTCATGCCTATAATCCTAGCACTCTGGGAGGCTGAGGTGGGTGGATTGCTTGAGCTCACAAGTTCAAGATCAGCCTGAACAAAAGCGAGACCCTTTCTCTACTAAAAATAGAAAAAATGAGGCAAGAGGATCAGTTAAGTCCAAGATTTGGAGGTTGCTGTAAGCTATGATGCCATGGCACTCTACCCAGGGCAATAGCTTGAGACTCTGTCTCAATAAAAAAAAAAAAAAATAGGAGGGCACTGTGGCGGGCGCCTGTAGTCCCAGCTACCTGGGAGGCTGAGGCAAAAGAATTGCTTAAGCCCAAGAGTTGGAGGTT